TAATGGAGAAACCCACTTTGCAACATTTCTTGGTAGAAATCCTAATTGAACGCAATCTGATACAGAGAATAAAGCAACACAATTTATTTAAGCAACTAATGGCATGGAAAATCACACATCAGAACATGTGCACATTTTAAAAGGAAAAGCATATTGCTTTAATGAAAACAAATAATGCTAAAACCTATAAAATTAAGTTCTTTGATTATATTTAAAGAAAAAAGATAAGCAAAGAAACTACATGGAAAAGTATTTTATGCCCTGAGAAAGCACTTATTTTTACATAAATGATTTAATGGCCAAACAATAGCTGTAACAATGACAAATCAGGAACAAGATATGTTCTATATTTTAGGTACTTCTTGTCTACATTTCCCAGGCAAAAAAGGGTCCTAAAACATAATGTTTAGGTGATATAAGATCATAGTACTAAATGGCTCCTTCAGCTCATGCGACAGACAATTTGATCACAAACAATTCAAAAACAAAGTGAACAAAACTCCACCGAAGAAATACCAAAATAAGCAAACAGGTGATATATGTTACGTCAATTCGGTGGGCATTAAAGATAGAGTAATTTCAGTTCTAATTTAATAGTGTTGAGAATTCTAATCTACCTAATGTCATTGAACATGACGACATCTGGGGCGACTAACAAATTGGAAAGGTTTCGATTTAGTTTCCTTTCGGATAGTAGTGTTGAGAAGAGAAAATATAATCTAGTGGTTTGAGAAAGAGTGAAACAACCAATTCAGTGGGATGGCTCAGTTTTGAGATCGCTAGTGGGGTTTAATAGAGCTCTTCACCTCATGGTAAGTGGGTACAGAGACACAGAGGTTTATGGGGAGCAAGCGAGTCTTTGGAGGCTTCTTCCTAAAAAGGGGAAGTTTAATAGACAATTTGATTTCAACAATTTCAAAACAAATTGAACAAGAGCTCCACCAAAGAAATACCAAAGGCGATATATGTTAAGTCAATGTGAACTAGAAAGCTTATGGGCATTAATTACTTTAACCTAAATGATAATACCAAAAACTGTAATGACAGAATTCATTAATTTCAGTTCTAATGTAATATTGTTGAGCATCTCGATCTACCTAGTGACATTGAATACGATGGCATCCAGGGTGGCTAACAAATTGGGGAGGATTCAACGTGGCTTCCTTTGGGGTGACAGTGTTGACAAGAGAAAAATATCATCTAATGGATTGTGAGATGGTGAAATGACTGATTCAGTAGGGTGGCGTAGGTTTAAGATTGCTAGTGGGGTTTAATAGAGCTCTTCATGATAAGTGGCTACGGGGGTGTCGTGGGGAGCAAACGAGTGTTCGGAGGAGGGTGTTAATGGCAAGGAATGGGGTGGAAGATTAGAGTTGGTCCTCTGAATTCCAGAAGGGCGCGTATGGGGTGGGGTTGTGGAAGAAAATCTGTTTGGGAAGAGATGATTTCTAGGATTGTGTTAAATATGGGGTGGGGTCGGGGGCGAGGGTGAGATTCTGCAAGGGATGAGTGGATGGAGGAGGGGACATTAGCTCAGCAGAATCCTAGCATATCTATTGTTGCTCATCACAAGGATGCTACCATTAAGGAGTCTTTGGTCGGTATTCAAGGTCGTGATGCATGGTCTTGGAAATGACTAGGAACTTCAATGATTGAAAAATTTAAGATTATGTGAAGCAATCAAAGTCCATCTCATTGATCAAAGTGGGTGGCTTGGAAGTGGAAACACCTATTTGGAAGCTGGATTTTTCCAGTATCTTAATGGTAAGATCATACGATGAGCACTTGAGGAGCTGTAGATGTGAGAGGGAGGATTTCCCAGCTAGTCTTATTTGGAAGGCTAAGGCAACTCTGAAGATGGCTTTCTTCTCTTGGAAGGTGGCTTGAAAATGCATTCTAATATTGGATAAGTTGATTAAGAGCATAAACATTCTCATGAACAGGTGTTACTTATGCAAGAGTAGTGCAGAATCCCGCACTCATATCCTTTTGTGGTGCCTGCTCTCGTTTTGGATTTGAAGTTTAGTTTGTGACTTGCTGGGATTGAATTGACTTGTTGCTGGATCAATTAAGGATGAGCTCCAAGCTTAGAAGGGCATCCATGGGGATAATAGGCTGGGACACATTCCTTCGGCTACCTTTTGGGCCATTTGGAATGAAAGGAATAGGATGACTTTTAAGGGTATAGAATCTAATTTTGACAAGTTCAAGGACTATTAGTTCCAGACACTAAGTTTGTTGTTTAAGGGTCAACCACTGATTACTAGTGATGATCTAGGGACCTAATTAATGTTTTGAATGATTCGTAAATATTTTCTATATGGATTTGATTCCCTTGGTGCTTGTGAATATAATTCATATTTTATTTTCAAAAGAATTCAATAGTGGACCTACAATGTTCCAATGCTCAACAAATGTCTCCATGGCTTAACATCTATATCAAGTACTCAAGCTTTACCTGCCTCCCTGGATTCATCAGGGTTAGGAACAAAAATGCTCACAGCATTTAGATCAGCTGGCACATTGGTATTCCTTCTCAAAACAACCTCCAACATTCCGGATCCATTCTCACAAGATTTACCAAGAAAAGAAGCCAGCTTCTTGAGCTGTGCGCCATTTGAGTCTCTTGCAGTGCGAAAAAAATGGCTCAAACCAACTATAGATGCTTCAACCAAACCCAGAAACTTAGCATCACACGCCCATGAGAAACAATAAGTCTGAAATCAGAGTTAAATATGAAATGTATATCCCTTATCTAGACCTCCAGAACGTAAAAGAATATGCAAAAGCCTTTGGAAGAGGAAAAAGGGGTAGGGGAAAACGGCCAACTCTTACAAACCATTAACAATACAGTTTAGCTACCTTAAATTTTAAATGACCCTATATGAATTCAAAATATTACTAGCAGACATTAACACAAAACTTCCAAGACACACAATGATGACCAATTTTTTATTAAGTAACAAACAAGTTGAGAATCAAGCTAGATCGATGGCGAAAAGGTATCCTCCTTCACTCTTGTAAAGAGAGTTCAGTTTTCACCTTGTGCATCATTGCCTATGCAGGTAAGAATCCTGTTAATTATGTCTACCAAAAAAGTAACACCATGAAACCTCCAAAGAGGAACAAAAAAGGGTTTACCTCAGTATCAGGACTGAGGTCAGGAGCTTAACTCCCAAGAAAGCAATAATGAATATAATCTCCAGCCTATCTAAGCCAACAGACACGCATATCTCTGTGAGTGTAGATAGTCTATCTAAACGTGTTTACTGTTGTAGTTAACACAATGCCAAATTTCAGTTAAA